TATATATATATATATATATATATAGCACTTTGGTGCTTTAAATCTGTGCATAAGAAGGCATGTTTGACTTTTAAAAAGTGATAACAATATTATTTTTTATGTAATATTAAAGATTGAGCTATGAAGTAAATGCACCTTCCTCTTTTGACCCAGAGAAGACATAATGTACACCACCTCAAATACAAACTATATGTTCTAAAAAATGTAAATTTAATCCTACAACATTCATAATTACAACCAAATCATCAAAATAATTTTAGGAGTTCATGCTCACCTAGAACTTGTTTAGCTGTTAGTCTCTGAAGTGGATTTCTGCATAACATCCCCGAAATTAAATGTTTTGCAGATTCAGACACCCCATCCCATGGATCAGAAGGAAACCTCAACTCCAGAGACCTTACCGCATCAAAAATCCTCGACTTCGTCTTTCCCCAAAATGGTGGTATTCCGCTGAGAAGAATGTAAAGAATAACGCCGGCACTCCATACATCCGCCGCCTGGTTATAGCAGCCTGCCAACACCTCTGGTGCTATATAGAATGGACTGCCAACAGTTTCACACAAACTCTGCCCTGCAAAGCCCAAATATCATTTTTTTTTTCAATAATATGTGTTTTATGTGTTTTGGAAATTAAATTGTTATATACAACTAAATATAAATATATAAATTCAAGATAAGTAAGCGTTATACATGTAAATCCTTCAATAATACTATCTAAGATGATAACCATCAGTGTATTATCATCTTTGTACCATTCAATCAGCACGGAAATGTAAAACTAGGGTTTAAATCTCATGCAAGCAGACCAAATAACTTAAATAATACAAATAATTTAGAATTAAATGAAAGATGACAGCTAAAAACCAGCAATCAACACGAAACTATGTTAAAATACCAGGCTTGATATAGGTAGCAAGGCCAAAATCGGCAAGCTTGATAGGAGAAGACGACGACTTGGTAACCAAAAGAATGTTCTCCGGCTTCAGATCCCGATGAACAATTCCATTATCATGGCAGTACATCACCACCTCCATCAGATCCCGGAACAGGACCGCCGCCTCCCGCTCCATGAACCGGCCGTGCTTCTCAAGACGATGAAATAGTTCCCCTCCGGCGCATAACTCCATAACCAAATGCACATAATCCTCTTCTTCGTACACAGCCTTGAGGTCCACGACATTCGGGTGGCCGGAGAGCCGCGCCATGACCTCGATTTCGAGCTTAACGCTGCGAACGTCTTCGCCGGAGACGAGCCGGTTCTTGGCGATGGATTTGCAAGCAAGTTCCTCACCGGTGACTAAATCAGAGCAAGCTCGGATCACCCCAAACTGACCCCAGCCCAGATGCTCCCGTAGCACGTAGCGGTCGCCGAGGTAGGCGATATGCGGAGTTTCAAGTATCGGCGAAGAGAGAATCGGGACTTTGTAACAGTTGCATCGCCAGTCAACGGCGGAGTTCCCCATGAAAGCTTGGGGAACCCTGGAACCCCAATTCTGATCAAAACCCTAACATCCCCTTGTCATCGTACTTGATAACTAAACGAATGATGCATAATTTTTGAAAACCAGAATATCTAACAATGATTACAGTTTAAACTCACTTATTAATCCTTCCAATCCGAAAACTCCATCAACTAAAACCAATCCAAAAACGCAAAATTAAGCCCAAGAAAACATCCAAGGCCGCAGATCACGCTCACTTCAGCCTCAAAAACCCTGATCTCGAACCGATCGAAAACCGAATCCGATCCAACTCCCTCGAATGCTGACTACTCAGTGACCACTCCAAATACTTCGAAGAACCTGTAGAATCGAGGATAGGAGAAGAGAAAAGAATGGTGAAAAGTGGAAAAATAGATTCGATTTCGTTCCCAAGGTGGTCAAGCTTCCTCTCCTCGCTGGCTTCATGCGAGGTGGTCAGCCGGGAGGAGGGTCAACTCGCCTAACTCATTTTATTCCGCCATGGCTGTTCCTTCTTATTCTCGTGGGGGCTATACCGTTTCAGATCTTGATCGTGAATCTGGAAACCGCGTTCTATTCTTTGGTCAGTTTTTTGAGTCTCTGTAAACTGTTAACGGTCGAGGAGTACTCCGCTCGGACCCGAAGTATACTTAACTGGAATAAATTAATAATATCTGATAATTATTTATTCTGATTTCTAATTTTAACGGATGAGATTAAATATTTTCAAAATTTAAAATACTGGACGGCTAATATACGGTTGTTTTTAGTAGATTAACGACCGTAGCTGGAGAGATTTTTACCCAAGAAAAAAATGAATTGCGGCGTATTTCCAAAAATAGTTGGCGGAGGAAAGTGTCGTACGACGACATCGTGGCCGTTGAATGGGGTGCACTGTTGGCAAGGAGGCCTCGTTGATGCAACCGTGTCGGGGAAGGGGGGACCCGTTTTAAGCGTGTCACTATCGTGTCGGGAAGGCGGGGAGTTGTTTTAAGCGTGAATCTCGGGTTGTCTGACTTTTTTTTAGGGATAATTGATTGTAATTACTATGAATATTGAAAAAATGTAGATTTTTATTTTGTTGGGATAATTACATACAGATGGTGCTGTCAAAATGATTTGTTGCTCCCAAAGAGCTTATGTCCGGCTTCTTAAATAACTCGTGTTAAAATAGATCGAATATGAATAATTTTTTGCTCTTGATGTACGAACAACTCGAATATGTTGTTCGTTCTTGATAGGCTTATTTTGGCTATATATAATTGATGAGTATTATTTTTAAATAATTTAATTAACTACAATGCTATAAAGATTTATAGTTAATTCAACTATTAACATAAATATGTGTTTGCAGCCAAACACCGATTAAGGAGGTGTTTGGTACACACTTTTTATACTATTCATATAGGATTTCGCCTAAATCCAATCAGACACAAAAAAGAGGGAAACTCAAATCCAACTCTCTATTAAATCCAATTCTCACACATTTCATATGTTTCTCTACGTTTCGTCTCCTCTATGACATAAATTTGGATTCATCAAATCCAGGTATGAGGCGGATTACACGAATTTAATTCGCCATTTCTCACGTGCTTCATCTACGTTGCCGCCAAAGCATTTGATCTTGAGTTTTAGGTGTTAGGTGATATAAAATTTAGAATGTTAGATATATAAATATATTTGAAGTGGTATGCATGTAATTCCCTTATTCTTATTTTATTTGTAGTAAATCACCTTAAAAGATTTATGGAGACTTAAAATGCATTTTTATGCCAAATAAATAAATAAATAATATGCGAGAAAAAAAAACTTGTTACTCTTGGCCTTAACTTTGACACTCATAATTATCATTTATTATTGAGAAATTCAGTGTGAAGAGAAACAAAAATCCACACAAAATTAGAAGAACACAGAGATTTAACGAGGTTCGGCAATGTGTTTGCATCATCGAGAGCAGAACGGCGAATTCACTATTTCAGATGAGTTGCATACCCATAGGGTTACACATCTATCTATAGATAAAACCCACAGATAAATTTACAAACAGATAAATTTACAAACATAACAAACATACCCTCACTCCCCTCATCCTACTAATCCAAGAGACACACATCTTCACACCAAGAGACACTCCTTTCATTCTATGAAACACATCTCTTCATTTCAAGACACTTCAAATTCCATGGTATATGAGTCATACCTAAAGGAGGTGGTGTTTCGCAAAATGGAGGCGGAAACAACAGTTACCGTGAAACCTCGGGTCTCGGTCGCGACCTTTCGCGATCGGGAGATCGGGAGAGCGGGAGCGGGATTTGGCGCTGTTTCGCGAAACGTAGGAGGCGAGAGGAGTGCGGTCTCCAGCGCTAACATTCTCCCATTTGGAGACTAATACACCTGCTACAACATCTCATTCTTCAAACGGACATCCTCCATTGGCGGTGTCGCCTTTTTCTTCAAACATGAATCCTCCACCATGAATCCTCCACCGTGAATCCTCCAACTTGAATCCTCCACCTTGAATCCTCCACAAAATACTCCACCTCTGTAACTCAAAGCCCTGTCTTCACTCCAGAAGACCGTACACAACTTCAATTTTTCAAGAGTAACACCCTCAGTCAACATATCACCAGGGTTCAAATAGTCTTGCACCTCCAAACTATTTTCTAGATTACTCTTGTCTCTACTTAAAACTCCCACTGCATGGGCAATATTCTGCCTCTGCGGAAAGCCTTTTTCAACAAGTATATCCTTGTACCTTTTACTGTCATCATGCTCAGTCTTCACCTGATACACCTACTTGTTGTGTAATGACTTCTTTCCTGGTGAAAGTTTTGTCAGTTCCCACTTTATCAAACTTTCATCTTGCAAGATTTCTTCATAGCTCTTTGGTTCTCCATCATCTTTCTATGGAACAATAGGAATGGGTGTCTCTGACCCACTCTCCTCTTCACTTCTATCATCAACAGAACTATGAATTGTCAGCAATAGTGCATTATGTACTTCTTCAGATACCACATTTGCACTATCACTCTACATATTCTTGGGATTCCTGCTTATATGGTCAGCCTTGCCACAATTCCAGCAGGTTGCCTGCTGACCTGACTTTGATTTTGATCTTCCTTTATTTGAGTTCCTTTCATATGATCTCCCTCTGAAATCAACATTCAGTGCTGAACTCGAACTTAAAAGCTCGCCAGAATCTTTCATGTGCATCTCCTCAGCTAAAATCAAATCACGAATATCATCACATTTCAGTGTAGACTTACCTGCAGAACTGTTAACTGCCATCCTCATGTTTTCCAAACTATTTGACAATGATGCCAACAATATCAACGCACATATCTCATCATCAAAATCAATTTCAACAACTGACAATTGATTTATGATAGTATTAAAATCATTCAGGTGTTGAGCAACAGAAACACATTCCATCATCTTCAAATTGAATAACTTTTTCATCAAGAACATCTTGTTATTTGCTGATGGTTTTTCATACATACCTGATAAGGCTCTCATGAGATCTGTAGTCATCCTCTCCTTAACGACGTTATGTGCAACTGATCTCGATAGGGTCAATCGAATAACCCACAGAACTTGTCGATCTTATAAATTCTATTCAGTCTCATATATTCTTTTAGTTCTTTTCTTCAATAACGGAAGATGAAGTTTCTTCCCATAAAGGTAGTCATCTATCTGCATCCTCCAATAACCAAAATCTGTGCCATCAAATTTCTCGATCCCTGATGTTGCGATTGCGCGAATATGATATACTAGTTATTGTGGTATATATATAAATCAAACAGGAGAACGATATTTGACAAAGCAATTTGACGAAGCAAAAAATACAACAACAACAACAACAAAGCCTTAATCCCACTACGTGGGGTCGGCTACATGAATCCTTTTTCTCCATTGCGTCCTATTTAGTGTCATATTTTCATTTAGT